TCTATTGGTTTATTTACAATGACTATCATTGGGTCTAATTCGACTATTGCATTAGCAAAACGAGCACAATTTTATTTCGATAATTACGAATTTTTTTAAGCATATCGTATATACGTGATGTTGTCATTTAATACCGTATTACCGGAAATCTTAACAGTTTTGTGTTCGTTTCTAATAGTATTAAAGTTAACTGTTTCTACAAGAAAAGTAAAGACAATGTCCCCTGTTTATTCAGAAAAGCGGATAAAAGACTTGAAATCGATAAAAATTACTTTGACTTTATGCTTCAGTTTAGTGGCATTAGTCTTAATTCCGTCAAATACATTTGATATATATTTCACGTATAGTAAATATATCCCCTACAGTAGCAGGATTATAGGGCTAATAGACCATCTGTTAAATATAATTTCTCAGTTAAATGCCTCCATTAATTTTATCATATATATATGTTTCAATTCAAAGTTCTCTAAAACTTATAAAAAAATTTTTGCATGTAATATTAACAAATAAACTTACTATATATTTATGTGCTACATGTAGTCACGACCGGGGTGGAATGGACTTCACAACATTGGATAAACATTCCAATGGACAGCAAGTATTAGTGCTGTATTTGGCGTATTAGTGATTTGATTTCTGTTTTATATATCTTTATTTTAATAATTCCTAATGTTTGTCGAGTTGGTTTGCAATTTATAGACGCAGCCTTGGATTTTTAAAAGTACGCTATGAAAATCATGAAAATTCAAATTTTTATATGACAGTTTTATTTATTTCCGGCCTTCTTTAACATATTTCAAACAAATACATATAATAATACAGTGTAGGGTATACAAAACAAAATGAACTAAACATCACTTTATTTCACATGGCATACTACTATAAAGTTTCAATACATGGTATTGTTAATTATTATGATCACAATGATGTGTTAAACTATCAAAATTATAGAAAATACTAAATATAACTGTGTTCTTTATTTAATAAGCAATTATTTTTTTCATTTTACAGTTGTTTGATGATCATTTGTTTCTATATGTTTGCTTATTGTATTACATACATTCTTTCAATATGAAGTTTCATGTTCTTTTAGTTATTCTCTTTTTTAAATAACTTTAAATGTTCGTCTTTGTCTATAATTATAAAAGTAAGCATCTTTCTTAAGTAATTGGTGTGTTGCCTTTATTTTAAAATATATAAGACAACCCAAAATCTTGTAATCTTGCAACATTTGCATTACATGTACGATAATGTGCGCTAAACATGAGCAGACATTTTAGTGCAAATCTAAAGTATAAGATATTCAATTCCTTTTTGTAACTTTAATTATGTGATTTATTAAATTGATTTGATGATTTTTTTCGTTTAATTTTAGGTACATAAGAATAGTTTTCTGTAAGAAGTTAATCATTTAGGGCTCATTACAACGTAAATAATAAAGTTTATAGACGAGTTAATTTGATCAATCAAATAATTGAAATAATTTATTATATATGCGCAATTTTCTGAAAATAAACTTCTATCATTTACAATAAAATTGAAAGTGTTTGTTGGGATAAGAACAAATATTAACACACACACACAAACCGTAAGAGTTATTTTAACTGATCTGATATCTTTATCTCGCTTAGACAGTGCTCCTGATTGATGAAGACAACTTTTTCATGTTTTTGTTAGAGATTGTTAGCTTTACTGAGATCATCAAGCTGCAAACAATGATTGTAACTGTTGGAAAAATGATTGCAACTGTGCTGACAAATCCTTGGTTATATAGATCTAAAGCAACTCCATTGCTAAGAAAAAATTATGTCGGAACTAAAAATGCCATGGTGCTGTTAAGTCCACTATAGAAAAGCCACTTTATTTCATACATAAACACTCGTGGAATATAAAATATTCCATCTGATATATAAATAGCAAACACTATACATTTTATTCTGAATGGCTTGAGAATAGTTGAAGCCATAAATGGAATACACACAGCGATCATCCTCTCTACGGCTATCAATGTCACCATGTGAATGCTGATACAAACAGCGTATTGGTTCCATCCATGTATGTAAATAATGTAATGGTTGGACATGGTAAAGGCGAAAGGTAAATTAATAAAGGAAATAACGTGTGGAATGTTGGCTACAAATTGCGTTGTCGAGTAAAACAGATCAGTCACAGCCAGTCCTGTTAAAATAATGTTTGTTGATTCGTTTAGACCATTGTACGTCAGAATTATATTGGTCATAACATTTCCGAGAATTCCAAAAACAGAAAGAATTGGAACAATGACACAGTTTAAAGTCAAACTTGTTAAAACGACCACGTTGTTGGATACGTCACACATCGGTCTATAGAATGTGGTTATGGCCCTTGTGTTTAATATTGGTGATTCACTGATGATTTCAGCCATAGCAAGTAGAAAAAATATATTTCTTTGTTCAATACAAGTAGATGCCTAAAAAATTAAAAAAATAAAATTCAGTGCATAGGCCCATTTAGCAAATAGAGGTGAAATCTACTTAGAGAACACATAATAAATTTACTTACGTTTTTGAAATGAAAATTTAGAAATAACTTATGTTGAGAACTCTTGAATATTGTAACAATAAACTGAAGCTGACACAAGTAAAAACTAGGCAAATAACTACAACCTCAATACCACTTTGCTTTTCTAAACCATTTATCTAAATATTTTTAATCGATTTTTGCAAATAAAAAAAATGTGTTTTATTTGTATAGTTTTAACTCAAATGTTTGCATTGGAGAAAACCATGCAAGTATCGCATTACGTTATGAAGGTTTGTTAGAAATTCAAATGTAAAAGCTTCTGCAAAGTTGATTATTTTTACCGACAAGCGACGCGGTTATGAGCATGTATGTTTCCTTTTAAAAAAATGTATAACCCTTTAAATTATTTGATATAAATGAACAAAAGTTTATAATTATGCATTTGTGGAGGAAAAGTTGATGCATATATTATCTATAAATAAGTAATTTTAATTAATTGAATTAATTATGTCTATTGCTACTTGAGTCTCGTGGTTACTGTTGATCCTCATTACTGCTGTCTTTTCTTTGTTAATCTTAAGACCTACACGTTTAGACGTGGCTTGTAATGCATCAGCTGTTTCTTGCTTGTGTGGTAGTTGGTGTGAGAGTAGGGCAAGACCATCAGCAAAACCTACTTTCTCTAGTTTCCCCGTGAGTGTCCACAGTATACCTTTCTCAGAACTGGAGCATAGCACATGATAATGGAGGCCTTTTGAAACCTGGATTAAAATCTAGTTTTAATTATTCGATGAGACACAGGTTCTCAATCCATCAGGCTTTTTGTTGCCTCCTTTGTCAACAGCAAGGCTACAGCTGCCTCGCGTGGGTCGTCATCATTGTCTTTTCCCGAGTGTATCAGTGTTTCTCTCTTCAGGAATTGTGTCTCTCCAAAGGTGTTCCATCTTGTTTCGCACAAGCCCTGCACTGTAAGATGATACTGTTGCATTTCTTGCATTCTCTGAGCACATCTGCCTGTTTCTCACAGTGTTCTGGTGTTCCGTGTTCCCATGAGGATAGGTTTCTTTTGTGTCAGTAGTTTTAGGGCTTTGAATTCAGTTTTTCTCGGTTGAAGAAGGGGGGTCGGCTCTGTAGCTTCCTTGCGGGTTTGGCTCCAGTGTGTCATTCTTCTCCTAAATGGAGCCCTGGTTCTTCCAAGGACTGGATTGGGATTGATTTCAGATTTGGCGTCGGTTTCTGTAACTCTACTTTGTTTTATGTGGACGAGTTAGCCCATCGCACAACCCCCAACCTGGAGGACCAGGGCACAACGTTTGGTCTGGCCCCTCCCACGCAGATCTGTCCGACTTGCTTAGACCTGCCATGAGCACTAGGCTCCCGCCGGCATAGCTCTGGGGGTCGCAGGGACACACAAGCCGTCCCACCACTTCAAGGCGATGTGCCATCAGTATAGACTATAAAAACTTAAGTTTTGAAAACGATTGACCGTATCTAACAATAGTATTTGTGAAAATAGTAATGATGTAAGTATAAGATTTTAAAAGAATTTCAAATTTATCCTGATAGGGGTTCAAGTCACAATATTTAAAATATATTATATTAAACGTTCAATAATTAAACTAAATATGGTCTGCCTAATAATTCGTACAGAAACCCAATAATTAAATTATCTCTATCTATTTCGTTATGGTCTGTCATTATTCAAATATACACGGAACGTCTGTTGCTTGCTATTACGTAACATTTTCTAAATTAGACTGTATAATATTAGGGTTGTAAATGTAAATGATGATATAATTATCTTGAATTCCGCCTTGATCAAACGTTAACAAACGCAAACGTGTTGTCTGTTGTTTGCCATTATCTAACAATCTCTAAATTAGAACGTATACTAATACAGTTGTAAACATACTTGATAATTACGTTTTCTTGTATACCAGCGTGATCAAAGATTATACAACACTAACTTGCATATAAATTATTGAATACGGGACTAAGTTATTACCCATCTGGAGTTCTCTTTGTAATACTACCAAATTACATCCTTCGATAAAAAAAATTACATTATATTATTTTAGTATGCGGTTATAAATGTTAGTATTGTTTAGTTTAAATGATTATATTAAGCTTTAACTGCCCGTATACAACTTTTAAAAAATCGTTCATAATATTTACAAAATAATATATTTTATATTCAGTTTGTGCTATTTTATATCATGAACATAATTTTTAAGTCAATAATAAAATATATTTTTAGAATCATCTAGTGTTTTAATAAATTAATCATTGATATAACTTCTTCGGTTATCTTTTGCTAGCTAAACCAAACTTGAATTGTTCAGATTGTGATATCATCAGTTATCTTTAAATTGTCTCATTGTCGACATAGACAAATAGTGTTCTAATTTTTGTTCATACAATACTATATTTTTTTAAAATGTCATTTTAAAACGATAAATTGAACACAAAGAGTTTTCATTCCTGTTGTAAACAAAACAATGGCTACTACGATCAGTGAACCAGCAACATCAAATATCACAATCATATTAAATACAGTTTATGCTCCGGTGTGTGATATGCCACATGAGATGGCAGAATCTGTGGGCTTCGCTTTCAATATCGTCATAATTCCAATTGTTTCTTTCTTCGGAATTGTAGGAAATGTTTTGACAATTGTCATTCTAAAGTACAATGGGTTGAACGAGTCTACAAACATCATTTTAACAGGGCTTGCTGTTGGTGATTTGTTTTTCTCTGTGACACAATTTTTCCCAGTAATTCCTCGATGTATGAATTCTGCTTTGGCAGAAAGCATGTTCAACTATTATGCAGTTTATATATATGGATGGAACCAATACGCTGTTTGTATCAGCATTCACATGGTGACACTGATAGCACTAGAGAGGATGATAGCTGTTTGTTTTCCTTTCAGGGTCTCAACCCTTCTAACGCCTTATAGGATAAAATGTATAGTTATTGCTATATATTTTTCAGATGCTATTCTTTATATTCCTCGAGATTTTATGCGTGAAATTAAGTGGACATTTTTTAGCTCAAGTAACAGCACAATAGCAATTCAGGTTTCAACCGATTTTCTTAAAAGCAACGGGTTTACTATTTATAACGACGGAATTATCAGCACAATTGCAATATTTATTCCAACAACAACAATAATAGTGTGCAGCATTATGATCACAACAAAGCTAACACTATCTTACAGAAATATAAAGAAATTGTCGTCAAGTGATGCTCGGTCAAAGAGAGTTAAAGACGTCAGGTCTGTTAAAATTACACTCATTATTTGTTTATTCGTAATAATATGTGTGTTAGCGCCAACAAACATATTTAACAAAATTTTAAATGATCGAAATTTATTTTCTGGTTATTGTGTTTTTGTATTAATATCTGTTGTGTTTTTAATATACCAAATCAACGCATCAGTCAACTTTATTATATACGTCGCAATGAGCCCAAAATTTGTCAAAACTTTTAGACTTATTTTCTTATGCGCTGTGTCAATTTTGCGTAACAATTAAGTAGTTTTTTAAATGGTATGCTCGCGTGGGACCAATATAATAAATTCGCTTTAGTTGTTTTGATAAAAATTTCGAAGAGAAATTCAATAATAACTTTTACTTAATAATATACTATAATAACTTTTGTCAGCCAAATATTTACCGAGCGTGTCGCTTTCTGGCATTTGTAGCATCCGGGCAACACTTCATTTGAACATTTGACGCATTCGGACAAACATCCGTTTTGGATTTTATTGCATTCGGGGAAATGTCCATTAGGGTCTTTGTCGCATTCGGGCAAACATCATTCATTCAAGAACACATCAGTAATATACAAGCTAATCAAATACTGCATTGTTTGGTTTTCTGTTATTTGAAAACCTTCTTAACGTTGATTTTTATTTTGATATGTTTTACCAAAGACCGTTTTAAATTGTTATATAAATAATATTAACCAAAGGATTGTGTGTAAAAGCGCCAAAAATCTGGAGAATATATTTTTATTTTATACACTAATTACACAAATAATTATGTTGATTTTAATGTCCACTAAATTTACAATGTGTCGTGATTTACGCGCCAAAATTGAAGGAAATTAGTTTGTTAAACGTTAATGAAATTTCTTCGGCAAGTTTTAACCCACAAACGACAAAGAAAGTAAAAATTTAAAAAAAAAAAAAACGAATAAAGCTCTTTTGCTTCATGTCAGTTAGCTATACAGCGTATTTATTTCACTATGACGTTTGTATTATTTTTACAAAAAAAAATGATAATAATATGCCTAATAAAAGCGTCGATTTAAAGCACTGATAGTTATAATTGTGTATCAAATATTAAAATGTCTCCATTGTTTCAAATTAAGAAATCTCTGTTTATATATATTATTAGATTTCCGATTTTTTTCATAAAAATTTGGAAATTTTAATATAGCAATTATTTTACGGTTTGCCGTAACTAAACAGGTTCCTACTAGTTTTTATAGAGTTTTAGTTTATTGTATAAACATTAAAACAATAGAAAATGTGGGTTTTTTTTAAAAATAATGTTCTAAATTTCTTCTGAGCAGTAGCCATTAAAATAACAGAAACTAGAAAAATCACACAGGTTCAGTTAAATTTGTATTGATTAACGATTTCTTATCATGCTCAACATCAACATTCGTTTTATTTGATGATTGTATCATCGGTCCTTTACAATGTGTAAAAGAAAGAACAGACAGTTAGTGCATTTGTAATTATATTATGTCGGCCTTATACTCATTTAAATAAGCACATATGGCAAGTATATTGTGGCAATAATCTATTGTTCTATTAGACACACAGTCATTAATACAGATCTTCTCATTGTTTTGTCGTTATATTTTAGTTAAGTTATTAAGCGTAAGCTTTTTTCCTAGTTAATATTTTCAAAATATGTGTATTTTTTTCGCCAATTAATATTAAATGTAGTTTATCTTGTTATGCTTCGTTCACGAATGCATTTTCAATTAAACAATTTCTAAAATTAACTTTGTATCAGGAGTTACTACTTTAAAACATGTCTTTTAATGTTATTTTTTGTGATTATTCTGTATAGCTTTCCTTCGTAAGAAAATAGCAATCCTAGCAGCAATTGTTTTGAATGGTTTTTCCAGTGGGTAGTTTTGTTTGTAGCTTACGCACACCAGACAACTCAAACACTTGAATGAGTCAAGTTATCGTTGCTGCGTGAAATGATAACTTTTTACAATTTTTTTTACAAAATCTATAATTGTTAAAAATGTTATCTAGCTTTGTGAACGTTAACCTATCTATCAGCCAAATAGAAGGAGAACGTCCCCGGATTCTTTTTTCGGGGTCATATGCAAATGCCTTACGGCCTAAGTGGATGAACACTTAACACAACGACCCACTAGGGCTCGAATTTAATGTCTAGGGGAGCTAGTGATACTGTTGTAATTAACACTCATCCAATCTACATACGACCTTTTAATCAGCGAACTCAGTTGTGGCAGAACACAAAGATGAACTAGATAAAATATTTAATGTATAAAATATCAAGACACGACTTACACAATGTAGGAAAAATCACTATCACAGATTTCTACACTGTCAAAAGAACAGCCACAGGCCACACAACACTGCTGTAGCTTCAGGAATTACTTAGCGACAAGTAATATTAAACTAGAAGACTAAATCAACTTAAGAAAGCCAGGCACACACAGGTCTTAAGTACTCTCACGTTCAAATGGTCAGAGTCTATAGCCGGACAATATGGACGGCTGCCTGATCAAGATAAAACTGCCTCGTAGACTGCCAGGTCAAGATAAACTGCCTCGTGTTGCGAGTGTGCAGTGCAATTAAAGACTTCTGTGACAGGGGAGGTTATCCTCAACTCATGTCGCCATTGGTTGGGATAATCATCTGATCAGAATCATTCAATCAGATTTTAATGGAAAATTTCTATGTCTCAAACACCTTAATAAGTCAGTGGAAAAACCCCAGGTGTTACACCATCATTCCATATAAGGAATTATACAATGTCAAAATAAAAATGACTCGACCTAAGTAGGTCACATCCCCTCCCTTTTTGGAAGTGACAGATAGGTTCCACAAAAACATACATAAGGAACCAATCTGGCAATGAAATAACAAAAATGTTTTACAAATGTAGGCAATCAAAATCATAATACCAGATGAAAATATCCCTGAACATAAAAGGGAAGTAACTCCAACTTTTACAATTGGTGAAAGGGGAGTAACCCTTCAAAAAGTAATTATACATCAAAATCCCTCAGAAAAGGGTATTACAATATTTCCATGAGGATACTAAAAGTGGTAAACCCGCCAGGGTAAGACCTTTATTTCAATGACTAGCTACAATATCAATTGAGTCATATGAGACATATTATTATAAAAGATTACATATAATCAAAAACCACCTTTAATTAAGGTTCACCTGAAAATAAACAAAATATTCAACAGGATTGGAATTTTGAAAAAATCAAAATCATACCACTCATTTCCATGTTAAAACACAACATTTGTGTATGGTCCTAATGAACCACAAAGCATGTCACATGATCAATGTGTACAACAAGATTTTACATCCTTGACAAACAATCAGCCACAACATTATCACTACCCTTAATGTGTGAAATTTCCAGATTAAAATTTTGGAAATATAAGCACCATCTCAATATTCTTTGATTTGTCTGTCCTAACTTAGAGGTAAATTTCAGGGGATCATGGTCAGAAAACACTCTGACTGGATTGGTTGAAGAAGAGACATAGACTTCAAAATGTTGTAATGACAAAACCAAAGCTAAAGCTTCTTTTTCAATAGTAGAATAATTCTTTTGGTTCTCATTTAACTTCCTGGAAAAAAAGGCAATGGGATGGTCAATTCCCATGTTGTCTTCTTGAAATAGGACTGAGCCAATGGCTAAGTTGCTAGCATCAATGGCAAGTTTAAAGGGCTTGCTAAAATTTGGTGCAGCCATAACAGGAGCATTTGATAAAAATGACTTAATGGTTAAAAAAGCTTCTTGACATTTATCTGACCATTCAAACTCAACACCCTTTTTCAATAATGCAGTAAGAGGTTCAGCAATAGCTGAAAAGTTTTGACAGAACCGCCTATAGTAACCAGCCATCCCAAGGAACTTTTTGATCTCTTTACAATTTTTGGGAGGTGGCAACTTTACAATAGCATCTACTTTAGCTTCAATGGGCCGAACTTGGTTCGTTCCCACTTGATAACCCAAATAGGTAATTGAAGCTTTACAGAAATCACTTTTATGTAAGTTTACAGTAAAATTAACTTCAGACAATTTTCTAAAAAGGTTAGTCAATTGAACAATATGTTCTTCAAAAGTATTAGAAAATACAACTATATCATCTATGTAGGCCTCACATTGGTCTATGTCAGCAATGACAGAGTTAATGACCCTCTGGAAAGTTTGACCAGCATTTCGCATACCAAAAGGCATACGTTTGTATCTATAAAAACCATTAGGGGTTACAAAAGCAGATATTTCTTTTGCACGGTCAGATACGGGGATTTGCCAGTATCCTGAAAGTAAATCAATTTTGGAAATTATCTTAGCTTGACCAACTTTATCAATAACGTCTTCTATCCGAGGCAAGGGATAGGAATCAGCTTTGGTGAGCGCATTCACCTTCCTAAAGTCGGTCACAAACCTGAAAGATCCACCGTCTTTCGGGACTAGGAGACATGGGGAACTCCAGTTGCTGAAACTGGGCTCAATGATATCATTCTTGAGCATATAATCAATTTCATCTTTTATCAAAGCAGCTTTTTCCGGGTTAACTCTATAGGGGTGTTGTTTAATGGGTTTTGCGTCACCAACGTCTACATCATGAGGTGGAACCTTCGCTTCTTTGGGGACATCCCCAAAAATAGAGGGAAATGTCTCGAATAACTGAGACAATCTATGGCTTTCCTCTGTGGACAAATGCATAAGGTGGACATTCAAATTATCTAAAAAGGAAGAATTTACCAATTTTGGGGGTTTCAATTTATCATGTATCACATCATCAGAAACATTTGAACATACAGGTAAAGTAATTTTAGCTGTGGAATGAACATTGTTACAATTATCATAATATTTTTTCAGTGAGTTAACATGATACACTGTCTGTTTCTTTCTTCTGTCGGGCGTATTGACAACATAGTTCAAATCACTTAATTTTGAATGCACTGTAAAGGGTCCACAATATCTCAGGGATAACGCATTGTTCAGATTAGGCACTAACACAAGAACTTTGTCGCCTGGATTGAATGTTCGTTTACAAGAACTCTTATCATACAGTCCTTTCATTCTCACTTGGGCCTTTCTTAAGTTCTTGTGAGCCATTTCGCACACGGCTTTCAGTCGAACGTGAAAATCGTCGAAGTTTTCCACAGGATGATCGCTGGTACCTGTCCAACGTTCGTGTATCAGCTTCAGGGGGCCACGGACAGAATGTCCAAACACAAGTTGAAAAGGCGAGTAGCCTAAAGAGTCCTGGACACAGTCC